CCTCTGACGTCATACGCGACGATCACCATCAATTTGACTGGGAAAGGATTCTGACTGACCTTCTGCTGCCTTGGTGATCCAGGATGTCGCCACTCCGCGGACTGACATTCAGTTCTAGTTTGTATGCCCTGGCCCAAAATTCATCGATGGCGATTATTCGTGAAAAGAATTGATCGCCGTCCTTTTGCCAGCGTGCAAAGTGGTCGGAGCATATTGCATAGCACACCCACCTTTGAACTTCCGTCAGTGCATGCGGTACCCACCGCGAAGCGATTTTGCGTAGCTGTAGCTCATTACGCAATATCCTGTGGACGGGGCGTTTCTCGATGCCACTTGCCCTCTCTAAATCCAGTAACGTCCATCGTCTGTCTTCATCCATGAGGAGCTCGATGACAGCGCACTCACCGGTCGTCCCGAACGTTGTTCATCACTGGTTGACACATGTCCTTCCTGAAACTTCTTACCCACCGTGCTACTGTACGATATGGTAGGGCAGTATTCCCAAGGGCTTCTACTAATTGACTGTGACATTCCATCGCATTTCTCCCTCGGAGAACGGCTATTTTGATGTAAGCGCGCTGCTCAACACTAGTTATTTCCATCTCGCACGACACTCACCAACTGACTGATTTCAGAGCCCTCGCTACCACACAGCCAGCTATCACAGAGCCATCTGTTGTTCTGCATACACACTATGCCTGCAGAACTTCCACATGACACATATATGTTTTGTGATCCGTTCACATATCTACAAGAAAAAAATAGTTGCCGTGACTTTTGCCCCAACCCAATTAAAGAAAAATTTACATCTTCCAGTACATTGTTTTCAGGAAGTCATTTAAAACATTTTTATAATAGAAAATTGACAACATATAAATAAATGGGTAGTATAGTTGGCCTAGAAAAAGTATAAGATATCCAGATATCTGAAGTCCGGGTAAAGTGTCATTAAAATTAGAGGTCTATACCAGGAAATAAAACTGAAGAAGTACTCTTGTTAACTGATTTCATTCAAAGAGTTTGCGTAAAATATTATTGAAGTGCTCAAAGATGAAAAAACAGCTATATAAATCATTTAAAAATTCAAAAAGTTGACTTTGAAAATCAACCAAAACGTGTGATTCTTTTGGAATCGTATGTCACGGAAGCAGTTTTTTACGTCTGCCTCATGTTAGTATACCATATCAACATAATTTACGAGAACGTATTTACGTGCAGAGCTATAGAAAGGCTGAAGGCCGGAGAATGATAACATATAGTATTACTCGCTATTGGAGTGCGCCAATGGATTGAATAATTGAACGCATGGGAAGTCAGTTCCAAGAGACGGAAGGATTTTGAAAATGCCACAATAAAGTTATCCGCTAGTTACCACCTCGGATGATGACTTCTTTGACAATGAAAGTCTTTTGTCAATCAAATGCCCACAATAAATTTGTCCGCTAGTTACCGCCTCGAATGATGATTCCTTTGTCAATCAAATCCCCACGATAAAGTTGTCTCCAATTTACCACCTCGGATGATAACTTCTTTGTCAATCAAAGTCCTTGCCCATCATTGGCGGAGTGGTTATGACTGCAGGATATTTATAGTTTGACGTCGTTCAAATACCAGCAAACGGGTGAGAACTGCATGGATGTTTTCGTATTTTTCCTCATGTGCGACATAGATACCCGATAGTATTTTTATGAAATTCTCCATAAAAGCATCCCTCCTCTTAGGAAGACAGCCTTCTCATGCTTTATAGTAGTCAAATAATCCTAACCAAGCAATCAAAGTCCTTCGACTCCACCCAGTTGCGCATCGACGTGCTCCAATCACAGCAGCCTTCACGCAACTGCTTCGTATGTACGCAGTTGTTCTGCCCCAGTGTCCACAGAAATCGAAGAAACTGTAATGAAGAACACAGCGATTGAGACCTACCGAATGCAGCAAAGCTCTGTTCTCGAGAAAAGAGCAGAGCATATTTGGTTACTGAATGATCGGCGGTTTTTGAACCGGACAGAAAGTTGCATCCGACGCAGTTCAGTAAATTCTAAGAAAGATCGAATTTTGCTAGGAGGCTGTGTGCTTGTTTGAAAAAGAATAAACTTAGATGAGCTTACTGGTTTGTACATAACTTGGTATGGGTTTCTGGCTGCGAAACGAAATTCTTAAAATTTTGACGACGCCTCATATTGCTGTCGTCGACAATTTTACCACGGCATGAATGGCATGCTCTAAGGATCTCATTCCAATGGAACATGCTTATGATTGGAAAATGCCTTTCGTGAGCAGTGTGGAATAATTCCATTAAGTCTCATCGACTTCCTCGTCAATTAAATGCCTTGCAGTCATTAAATCGTCTTGCACATTTAAGTTCTTTGCACACATTATTAAACAATTGGCAGAGTTCTTTAATGCTTGTATTTTCTTCTCCAAAGGGTATGGGTGATATATTTTTCATCACACAAGGTGAGTTTCCTGTAAAATAAGCATTTGCCTGCGTTAAAACATTATTTTCCCTCTACTGTATCCTTCATTTTCTTGCCTCTTTTGAAAATACATTTTTATGTTGTGGTACATATTTACGAGGGAATGTCTATTCTTGCTAAATCCACTGCTCATCTGAATTTGTTGAGCAGTGCTATAATACCAAATAATAAGCACTTCTTATCATGCAGGGATAGAAAACGCGGAAAGATATAGTTAATACTATAAAGATATTTAAAAAAGAGGTATAATATAAACTTGTGAAAACACTGAATTCCAAAATAATATCATAACTGTTTAATTAAGAAATTTACTTTTATGTAACATATTTATCAATAGATGGCAGCACTACCTTACAGGTTCTGGTTTTTGGGGAAAAATTGACCAAGAGCATAACATAACAGAATAATTATACATAATAAATAATTATATTATAGTAGGCATTTTTAGCGCACTTTATGCGATAAGGAAAAAACTTAGGTCCTTACTTATTTGCAGTTTTTCACGTTTTAGAGTAATGATAAATTTCACTCGAAGTTTATTATTCAATGATCAAATATTTAAATTAGTTTTCTACCATTTTTAATTAAATATGCTTAAAAATTATAAAAATATTTTCTATGCATTTTAGTGAATATGTTATAGCAAAAACGCTATATCGCTATTTGATTATTAATTCAAGTATTCTCTAAAAATGTGTTCCGGTAAATAAATCGGAGTTTGCTTTTAGTGCTGCCATCTATTATCGAGATTTAAATATGTTTTCAGTTTCTTGAGTTGAAATGACTTTCAATCGTAATAATATTGTCGATATCCTTCTCCTTTATTGTATATAAAATACATACAACATAAAAAAGTTTAAAAAAATTATTATTTCTGCTTCTCCAATAGTTTTTTCAATTTTTAATTATGTTATTTATAATACATGTAGTTTAGACTGCTGAGCTTTTAAGTACTGTACTGCTTAAATATTAAAAAACAATTAAAAAACGCTAACTACCACAATGAATTAATAAGCATAAGAAACGCTAACTACCACAATGAATTAATAAGCAAAGGTAAAATAAATTTCACTATCTAGATATCATATGTGAGGCAAGACGTCTCCTTAAAGAGAATAAAATTGTCATATGAAGCATTGTCTTCTGTTGGACAATTTTTTTATCTTTACCAGGGGATCTACCAGGGTACTAATTTTTAGTACCACCTTCTTTTCGATTGCGTACCACTGGTGGTACGCAATCGAAAAGAAGGTGGTACTAAAAATTAAAACCCCAACATCCTGATTGAGTTTTTTTCTCTAACACTTGTAAATTTATGCGATCTGAGTTTTGTTCAAGAGTGTAGGTAGTAGTAGTACTTTGTAGTGGTAGTATTAAAGGTTTTCAAGTTTTGTTTAGATGGTATGCGTTCGTCAAAAGGTTGAGAACCACTGGTATTTAGAAACTTTTAAGAATAAAGTACATAATACGTTAAGTATGAAAAATGTAGCACTGGATAAATTATATAAAATTCCTTATTTTTGTACCTTATTAAGTATTTCTTTGTTTAGAATATAATATGGAAAAACAATTAATTTTCAGAAAGTTATTTACAACAATTTTTTGATTTATATCATTTTACATATAAAAATTAGCATAGCTTACGTATGAAAAGAAATTAAATACAAACAGATAAAGATACATGTTTATATAGAAATCAAATTTTAAATGTCCAATTAAAGGTATGAATTCAAATAAAAAATTTCAGAAACAAATTTTTTACATGTGTAATTTTTCTACAGTCAAACCCTCTATTTAAAAAGCGCTCATAGCAACTATCTTTATTCAAAACTATACTGAATGAAAATTTATATCTTTTAACACTATGTCAGCCTGATAAATTAAATAGGCATCAGTAGGTAGGCTGCCTCTGAGAGTTACATGAAATTTATTGCTTTTTCTTATATAATTTCTTAGGTATTTTCTTCCTCCATCCAGCATGCATTTATGAGTCGAATCCCGGCGAGGGCACAGTACATTTTTCGCATCCCCTGTTTAAAAAATACCTAATGACTCTACAAATGGCGCCCGAACTAAAAAGTGGTGGACAATAATATATCACCACCAGGATTTGGCGATTAGATCCTCTAATCAATTCCCAGTTCCCTTTAAAAGAGACCACGAATGTTTGCGGAGAGGAGGGAGATAATACCTTATAATACGAAAGAATATACGGGGTATGACCTTCCTATGATTTAGTTACGTTAACAGAAATTAATATCATAGGAAAGGTCATGACCTAAAAAGTCAAACCAACTATTTAGTATGTTTAGTAGTTGATTAAAAGTAGTAAAAGATATTTAGATCCCCCTCAAAATTGGGGGAGGAAAATAGAAGTCCAACCACTCTTCGGAGTAGGCTCTGGCAAACATTGTGCCGTGTAATATGGACAAGACAACAACAACAGCATCTAATAATTGCTTTTATTAAATTTTTTAATAATGTTATGGAATGACATTAACTGTATCTGCTAAAACATTGTTTCAGATAAGAGGGGATCCAACGTCCTGCGAGAAGTTGAAATCCAAGTCCTTGACAACATGGTTTGCCATAATGCCTATTATCCAACCTACAAAATACCAATCAAAGGCTGGCATCTTTGCGCGGGTGTTTTGGAAGGGGGTAAAGGAACTTGTCAGGTATGTTTCAAATCTCTTTCTTTTATTTATTTAAACAAGCTCATCAAAGTAGATAAGATAATGATTAATGGTGGACAGTTATAGATACGGTTTTTGCAGACAAAGAGTTCGAGAAGCTTGCCGCCTTCATAGGGTTTTAATTGGGTTTTCTCTTCACTTGCGACATAAATAAAGGGCATTTCCACCAGAAAGTCCTTCACGAATTCATCTCTTCCAAGGCAGATAAGAAACGGATGTTTTCCGTAATAACGTATCTCATATTTTATTTATTGTGATTCCATTCGTAAATTAAAATATTGATTATGGGTCATCCTTGACGATCTGTAATCAATGCATAATATCAAGATACTTACGACGAAATCCAATACCAGTTCACGATATACTTACGACGAGAATCGTTTCAGACGTCCCGTCGTAAGTCGGAACTGATGTTATTCCTGGTGTCTTCAGTAATAGTTTTATAAATTGGGATGTCATTTAACATAAAATGGGTTTAGAAATGTTATAAACTTACGTAACATTCATAATAATTTATTCATATACACATACATATGTACTACATGCATGCATATTTGATGAAATAAACACAAACTCTTCTTTGAAAGTAATTAACATGAGCAAAACACACAAATATATAAATTATATCTTTAATTAAAAATATCAGGTGAATAACAGATACTCGTTTGAAAGATATCTATTTACTTCAATAAGAATTGTTGTCTACTTGAAATGGTTCTTTCCCCCCCCGTATACTTCAAGATAACATCTCACTGCTTCTTGTTGCAACTTCGACGAAGCAGGTTTTTTATTCATATTTTCAAGTGGCTGAAATCTTGATTTAATTTAGAAAATGTTTAAGGTAATTCTTTTGTGATAAACTGTTTTGGCGGATTCCCTTCTTTATCTGCCTCATTATTCCTTTCTTCTTATGTAACTATTGCATTTTAGAAATCAATTAAATCTTCACCATTTTGTTCACTTTCTTCTTGATCCACCAATTCTTCTACATCCTCCATATGACTCCTCGTACGTGTCCTACGAGGGCCTCGTACTCCTCGTACGGATCCGGACTCCTCGTACGCGCTATGTCAACCACTTCTTCGCGAATTTGTTCCAAGATATTACGTTTGTTTATGATTCCAGTGTTTACTATGGCATCTGCTTTTTCCAGATTCTTTATAAGCATTTATTTCCATGAGATTCTGATTTCCACTGTGAATTCTTTCCGTGAAATTCCATTATTCCGCATACAGTGACCAATATTATATTTTTCCAAAAATCATATAAACTGCTTTACGCCTTTTTGCAGTTATTTTGCGTCTGAAAGTGTTTTATTAATAAGCATAACAAATAAGGAAAAATAAAAAGCATCGAAGAACGCCCCCCATAGCGCATTTTATAGGTGGAGCGATAGTTTAATGGTCATTCTTCATTACGCGTGCAAAAACAATGTTGTGTGCCTACGCTGACGGTAAACGTTAACTAACGAGAGCCATTTATAAAAGCGAATTGTCGTAAGTCGAGTACACACATCACACACGTTGCAAACTTAATTAGCGCAGTTTCTCATATACTATAAGAAAACCCCACAAGTGCCATGCATGTACATATATATATATGTGTGTAAGATATAACAAAATACAATATCTGCTTTAAAAAAATAATCGGCGACCTCAAAATTAACATTCTAGATTTGGTGATCTCTTTATAAATTCTTCTGTTCTCCCAAATTCGAGATTTATCTGCGTTATGTAACGCTATTAACTAAGCAATTATAGATTAGCTGTAGTTGTACATCAAACTTGGTATATGTTTTCCCTGGCAGTTAATTGCGTCACTCTTTTCCTAGCTTCCGCCTTGCTAATAGCTCCTCGCTTTGCTTTCTTCGTTTAGATAAACATCTATGGAGATAATTTTAAATCCGTGGAAATAAAGACTGAAAATTCTTCAAGGTCATGCTTTGTTATCTTCATCTGTAGGCCTTCACTCTCAGCTTCGACGACTGCAAACTGATTCTTCTTCTGTTCTTCTCGAAATTATCACATATATATGTGTGTGTGTGTGATTATAAGATAACAAATGCGTAAATCAGCTTTATAATTTAATTTAGTAATAGTCTCTAAATTCCTCATTTTTAATTCGGGTATTTCGTCTCTCTGTTCTGAGAATAACAACATTTCTGGACAGCGCCATTTCTAGATTAATCTATGCCACAGAGTTCGCGTAACGCTGATGACAAAGTTTATTCGGAAGCTAAACTCTGAGAACTGAAACCTTTCAAACCTAAACCCAAACCTTCCTCTTAACGGACTGCCGTATAGGATAAATTCGCGTTTTGCTTCTACCTTTGTTGCCGCTTGGACTCTATTTCGCTGTACTCTCTCCTATCACAAACGTGTTAAAAAATTTAAATGTTCTTCAATAGGCATGATTAGAGTGCCAAGTAAATTGTGGCCCCAAATGTTAGTTTAAATGAAAATGGAATTTAATTCGCATCGACTGCCAAGTTTCTTAGTCAGTACGGATTCAGCATACAAGGCACTAAGAATTCTTCCTCTTCAATATGGATCTACGTTCAACTCCAAACAACATTGTTACGTCTGTGTCTCCTTTTTATCACAAATATATATTTTACTTGAGGCAGAACCTTAACTGCTCGACTCCATATGCAATGAAAGATAACTATATTGGCAGAATTCTATAGTCAACAAAGGTAACTATTTCAAAACTTTATATCACAACACGTATAACAGTTTTTAATCATGCCTTCTTATATCCAGAAAACATTTTTTCCAGAATGGCGGGCGCTTGCCTATAACCGAATTGGCCACTCCTAAAGCCAGAAGTGGTGGCCATCTTACTGTAGAGGCACCTAATACGTGGCTACCGTTGTTTCCTATGAAGAGACAGACAATTTAACATCTATGCCTTCTCCGGGATTCGAACTCGGGCCCTTCGGTAGCATAGTCAGGCTCCCTTAACCACTATGGCGTCTGAGCGGCATATCCAGAGTATAATACCATCTTACCATTAAAGTGCATACTTAATAATTTTATTAAATACCTAGTTAGTTTATGAAGTAATTGATCAAGTTAGTTAAAGTGTGTAACAAATTAAAAATTCCACACTTTAACTAATTATTCTATAAATGAATACTTATTAGACATTTCAAGTGTAAAATAAATAGTTAATATTTTTATGTATATATACATATTTCAGACAAAATAATGAATAACATCGAATTAGTATGACTAAAAATACAAAAATGCATTATTTTTCAAGCATTTTTCCTGCTTTTTAGCCCAAAGGCACAATTTGCCCAGAAGGGTTATTTATTTCGTTTTAGCATTTTGAGTTGTTTCACTACAAAAGGCATTTCATTTTTCAAATTGTTACCACCAAACATTAGAGCCCTGCATTATATTAAAAAAAATTAAACAATGAAAAACCTGCATGAATGTATGTATGTTTCTCGCACTGTGAAAAATCAACGGTACCTAGAGGCATCGAATTTTGAATAACGTAGTCCTCCACATAAATATGGGCATCTGGAAGCTCAATTTTGGAATTTAGAATTTGTTTTATTATCTATTTCATATTCAAAGCGAGCAATGGCAACACTGTACGAAAAAAAAAATCTGATGTGTACACCACATGACTTCCTTGTACGGAATATTAAATTATACGCATTTGTTTCTTGCATTTCTTTTAAATTTATTGGATTTAATTAAATCTACTTCGCCGACAGCACATAAACCACAATAGAATAAAGGCATTCTTTAAAATTCACTCTATTTGTTTAACATAGCGACACTCTGGCACTAGGTTCACTTAACAGTATTATATTTATTCATATTTATAACTCAGAATGCACAAAAATGTATATCATTTGAAAGAATTATCTAATCGTTGCCACATGTTCTTTTCAAATACTAGAATAATAAAGCTAGAAACGATGTAAAAACGATGTAAATTAAGCAAACAAAACAAAAAGAAACAGTTTTTCACAATTGATTCAGCACCGCTTACCTAATCGGCATGCGCTACTCACCAACATTTTCCTCTGTCCCATACAGACCGGTGACAATATTTGCAACTAATACGAAGCACTTATTTCCTCGAATTTCACTGAGATATATTTCTCATTCAATTAATTCAGTTCTTCACTTCACGACAAGACAAAAATACATTAAAGCACAAAATATCTGTATTAAAAATTACTAAGTATTAAAAATTAAGTAAATCTTAAACACTTATTTCCTCGAAAAAATTCCAGAAAGGATTAAGCATGATTTAATTCGCAATAATAAATGAAGGCCTTTTTTTTTTTTTTTTTTTTTTTTTTTTTTTTTGTTGCAAAGCTTAGTCTCTCTAGATTGGCAACAAATCTACAATTCTGCTGTTTCAAATGTACACAAATATGTCCGCCTTGTTATTTAAAACTTAACCCCTAAAAAGCTTTTAAATTGTTGATAATTGTACAAATATTGCTTCCAAATTTACGAAAGGCATAATAACCTTAACCGGAAGATAAGAACAACATAATTCAATCATTTTTAAAGCAAAAAATGTACAATTTACAAACATATAAGAGTAAAGAAACTGAGATCACTGTGCCGAGTAACAGAGTGAATATATATATAAATATAGTATTTATATACGTCTGGTGCGGCCGATTTCAACCAAAATACGAGGTGCACATCTACATGTTATAGCAGTCCTATATACAAAATTTCAACGTTCTTGAGGCTACTCGTTTTTGAACGTACGTTCGTATCTCGCATAACGTACATACGCGCGTACGTACATACGTTCGTACAGACGCCACGAAAAATTCTCTTCAGAATTAATTTTAAAGCAGTTTTATAATTTTTTTGGAGGAAACGAGTCTTTTATTCTGTCCTTACGTATAGATATCACGCAAAAACATCGTTAAATTGCATTCGATAGCGGTCAAAATGGGTATTTTCGTTGAAATATGCTGCCTGAAACTTTTCGCG